TTTAATATCAGAGGTTAGAAATCAATGTAGTAGGTAAAACAAATAGTATTTTAGCAATGTTGAGATTTATATATAGGAAAAACCATAACATTAAACATTTTGTAAATGAAGATTTTTGTGTAAATATGTTAAATTCGTGTTACCAAATTCCAGTATTGACCATGAACTTAAGTTTCTGAACATGAATTTAAATTAAATTGAGATTTTTTTGAAGATTAACTCTACTTAGTTTATGTATTAAAAAGGTATGCAATAACGAAGAGTTTGATTACTTAAGTTTTAAGAGTCTTAGCTATCTTTTTCTTTAGGTTGGAGGAAATTATGGCTGTTACTCATGGTCACTAGAGACAAGAGAAAAAAAAAATATTTTAGTTGGAAAGAGGTATCAGATAGAAAAAGTCTTCCTCAAACTAATGCATTTTGGAACTTCCTGTTGGATATTTGCACACTGTGCTGTGGAGGAAGAGATATGAGCTTTTAAACTCATAAATGAAAAACTATGTGTGATAATTATATAATTATGGATGGCATGGATGACCAAGAATTGAAAAGAATAGAATACTATATTATGAAAGTTACTCCTACTATTGCTTTATCTATTTTAAGCAATAAAGCTCTCTTAAGGTGTGTGTGTGTGTGTGTGTGTGTGTGTGTATGTAATAGATTGCTCTTTTTCTACACACAGTATTTCATCCTTTTATTTTAGGTCCCCACCAGCAGCACTTATGACTGTTCTTACCACTCAGGAAGATTTACTAGAAAAGATCCTAGAATGCATCCCAGTTGGAGAATTTGCAGAAATTCAGCCAATGAGTATTGAGTTTTGCATTATTTTAGGGTATCTTCTTACCTGGAAATTAATTCTGACTTTCTTCAAAGGAGCTTCTTCCCAGGTAAATTGTTTATTTTCCACCCCCCACCCTATGAACCCTTCAGGTAACAAGACAGTTCAGTTAAAGTGCTGATCTGTGTACATAAGCATTTTACTATTAGCAATAGAAATAAATTCATTGCAGGTTGTTTGATCGGAATTAGGAACTTAAAATCGAAAGTATTCTCATCTGCCTATAAGAACACAGAAAAAAATATTCCACACCTAGCAATAGGAAAGCAATATTGAGCTGCTGGGGCTATTTTTATTACTGTTGTTAATAATGAAATGTAAACTATTTGGTTGACAAGCTGAAATAAAAATAAATTTTTTAAGGCAAATTTTAAAGTAAGATTTGATAGTCATTTGGTCTTTGCCTGTAAACATGATGCATAATCTCAGGTTGCTTAGAAGATATAAAGATATGTTGGTATAATATTATGTGGATGTACAGTTTATCCATCATCTGTTCTCATGCTATTACCTGACAATTTTATCCGTGCTACCAATGGTCTCTAGTACCAATGGTGCTTTTTGTATGGGCCTTTCCACAGGGGCCACAAGGGCTCACTAGATGCTGAGAGTAGAAATCAAATAAAATGAAAACATACGTTTAAATGAACCTTTCTCTATTCCATTTACTTCATGGTCTGTTGATGCAGATGCTTTAGGGGCATTTTACAGAAAGAGTTCTTATTTTATTAAAATGTTTCATAATTCATGGGAATTATTTTACATGTTACTTTTCCTCCAGCTTCGAGCTCTTTATTCACAGTACCTTCGAAGAACTAAGAGTTTGAATAAACTATTATATCACTTGTTCAGGCTTATGCCAGAAAACCCAACTTTTCCTGGATCAACATCAGAACTTTCAAATAAAGATATAAAAACATATTTTACTGAAGAGCTTGATTTAGACATCAAAGGCAAGTCAAAATATCCTTAATTTTTCTGCATTTCATTATTTAAGAGATTTTTTTTTTGTTAGGACTCCTCTAGGGTAGTCATTATCCTCTAAAATATTGCCCTATTTTCAGGTGGTTTAATGGCAGAACAAATGTCTCCTAAATATCCTTGTTATATTGCAGTAATACATGAACAATCAGAGCAAAATGGATGGCACTCTTTGCTGAATAGGTCCCAGTTAAAGCTCAAGAAATTTTGGTTAATTCAAAATGTGCGTTCTCTTCGACTTGCCAATCCTTGCAGTGTTCTCATAGATTTTTTTCCCCTTTGAAATTCCAAGCTAAAAGAATTTGCATGCTTCTATATGGTCACCATCCCATGTTAACAGAGAAATCTGGGGTGATTGCCCACAAGCTTTTTCCTTTTAGTGGCCAATGGAGAGGAAAAATAAGATAAACAAGTAGCCAAAACTGTCAGTGAATGATTGTGAGGCATTTCACTGTCTCTAACATAGGAAGAAGTCAGAGTTCTTAAATTTGTGCAGTAACAGGGTAATGCCTCTAAACCTGTTGGAGTTCCCAGAATTCCTGGTCAGCATGGCCATGGGGTGGGGATGAGAATACCATTTTGAGAAAAGAGCAAGAGTTTTCTGTCATGTAATAGATTTGACATATAGGCAGCTTGGTATTGGAATAATTTTGAAAGCTATCCTTACTTTAGAACAGTGATGGGGAACCTTTTTGTTGTGGTGTGCCGAAATTGTGTGCGCGCTGGAACCCACAATGCAATGTGCCCCTGCATGTGCACACAACACCCCCACCCCCTTGCGCTGTGCATGCGCACATCTCCTAGCTGATTTTTGGCCCATTTGAGGCCATTTTCGTCTTCCCAGAGGCTCAAGGTACTGGAAATGCCCGGGAAAGGCTGTTTTCGCCCTTCCAGAGGCCCAAGGGAAGCCTCTGCAGCCTCAGGAGGCCAAAAATGGGCCGTTTGGGCACTTCCGGTATTTCCAGAAGTCCAGTTTTTTGGCCTCCAGAGACTTCCCTCGAGCCTCCAGAAGGGCAAAAACAGCCTTTCCTGAGCTCCAGATGCTAAAAACAGGCACTTCCGGTATTTCCAGAAGGCCCATTTTTCACCCACTCAAGGCTGCAGAGGCTTTCCTCGAGCCTCTGGGAAAGCGAAAACAGCCTCAAAGAGGCAGAAAATCAGCTGGGAGGCACGTGCATGTGCAGGTAAGTTTGGCTGGGGCTCGCATGCCCGCACAAATGGCTCTGCGTGCCACCTGTGGCACGTGTGCGATAGGTTCACCATCACAGGCTTAGAATAAGCCCTAGCCAATTTAGTAATTCAAGTAAGAATGTATTCTATTTTACTCACATTACTAAGAAATGGAAATACTATAATTGAAAGCATGAAACTCCCAACACTTTTTAAACTGGCTTTATTTCTATATTTTTTCCATTTTTTCTATAGATACACTAGCAATGTCCTCACATATTCCACATTTGGCTTGCACTGTCTATTGCATGACCTTAAAAGATCTGCCAGCTATGGTTCGTCTTTGGTGGAACAGCTGTGAGAAACGAGTCTTCAACATTGTAGATAAATTTACAAGCAAATATGTTAGTGGCATACTGTCCTCCCAAGAAATATCTTCTGTACAGAGCAGTACCCAGTTGTTTAATGGCATGACGGTTTGTATCATTATCTTTTTATTATCTCACTGTCTGTATGTGCATTTCATGGTGTACTTTATTAAATACAGTGATGCATGTTTATAATAGTATAGCATAGTGGACATCTTTCCACCTAAAGATGTTCAAACTGGGTTAAGTAAGGCTGAATTAATATTAATAGTCAGATGTTACTTTCCATTCCACAATACAGATAGTCTTCAACTTACAACAGTTCATTTAGTGACCATTCAAAGTTACACTGAAAAAAGTGACTTGTGATCATTTTTCACACTTAATATTGTTGCACCCTTTTCATGGTCACATGATCAAAATGGCAGCTGGGTTACATTGATCCCCCTTTGTAACTTCTGACAAGCAAAGCCAGATTCATTTAACAATGGTGTTACTAACTTAACTGCAGTGATTCACTTAACAACTGTGGCATGAAAAGTCATAAAGGGGAAAAAATTCACTTAACAAATGTTTCACTTAGTAACAAAATTTTTGGGCTCAATTGTGGTCATATGTCATGGACTACTTGTATTCCCTATTCAATATTTTAATTAATAATCTAACATTAGACTGCTTAGAATACAAATCTGTACAAATGATCAAGTCTAACATATTAATCTTACATTCACAAGATAGAAGATGCTTAGATACTTATATTGAAGAGCTTTTAAAAACAGAATGGATTCTGTGTTGTTATGAATGAGCTTAATTTTTCTGTGAAGAAAAATCAGCATAATTCCTATGCTTGGTAATCATAACTTATATTTCTTACAAGTAAATGTAGCCTAAAAATAATCAACTTTTTTGCTTTATTTTAATTGCATCTAAATATTTAATAGAATACATATGAAATAATCCCAAATACTTTAGGTACATGAGGAATTGTCATCTTGAATTTATTTCTACAAGAAAAGCCATTATTTGAGGAAGAGACACTACCCAACAATAACTAGGTTTTTGCATATATTCTAAGGCAGGGATCCCCCAACCTGTGGGCTGCAGATCAGTATCTGTCTGTGACCTGTTAGGAAAATGGCCGCACAGCTGGAGGTGAGTGGCAGGCAAGCAAAACTGCATGGATCTAGGTCCCCACCCCACCCCCCACACCCCAAATTGTCTTCCACAAAACTGGTCCCAACAAGATTGGGGACTGCTGTTCTAAGGCGTTTTTTAATTTAGTAATGTAAACAACTTAGGAACTTAATGGAACAGAAATGCTTCATGGAAGAATGCTTAGCTTGCAGATCTGCATTGTTTTGAGAGTAGCCCTAAGATCATCTCCCTGCCAGTGCTTCCAATCAACTCAGAAAACAGTTGTTTTTCATTGTTGCTTAAACATAAAATTTGAAAACAAAAATCACGTACAGTTTATCCTCATTTAATAACCATTTATCCAGGAACTCTTCAAAGTTACAACATTGAATGAATGGTAAATATGACTATTCCTTGGAGTTACAGCCATTGCATGGCCTTGCGGTCATATCAATTTTTGGTCACTTGGCAGCACACTTTATGACCG